TGTTTGTCTCCTTTTTTTAAAAATTGGAACTACATTTGTCATCTTCCATATCCCAGGGAGTTGCCCAGTTTCAGTGGATGTGTTGAAGATCTTTGCTAGTGGCACACACAGCATCTCGGCTCCCTCTCTAAGGACCCACGGAGAGATGTCTGGTCCCACCGCCTTTGAGGTGTCAAGTTCACATAGCAGCTTCTTCACTTCCTCATCGGTTATGTGTACCTCATCCAGCACTTGTTGGTGTACCTCCCTGTTCTGTGTGTGTGTGTGTGTGTACTCACCTATTTGTGGTTGCAGGGGTCATATCGTAGTTCCTGTCTCCGTCTCTCCACTGATCGTTACTAGATCCACTCCCTACGCCAAGAGCAGGGAGTGTGTGTGTACTCACCTAGTTGAGGTTGCGGGGGTCGAGTCCGAGCTCCTGGCCCCGCCTCTTCACTGATCGCTACTAGGTCACTCTCCCTGAACCGTGAGCTTTATCATACCTCTGCTTAAAGCTATGTATGGATCCTGCCTCCACTACATCACTTCCCAAACTATTACACTTACTGACTACTCTGTGGCTGAAGAAATACTTCCTAACATCCCTGTGATTCATCTGTGTCTTCAGCTTCCAACTGTGTCCCCTTGTTACTGTGTCCAATCTCTGGAACATCCTGTCTTTGTCCACCTTGTCAATTCCTCTCAGTATTTTGTATGTCGTTATCATGTCCCCCTATCTCTCCTGTCCTCCAGTGTCGTCAGGTTGATTTCCCTTAACCTCTCCTCGTAGGACATACCTCTCAGCTCTGGGACTAGTCTTGTTGCAAACCTTTGCACTTTCTCTAGTTTCTTCACGTGCTTGGCTAGGTGTGGGTTCCAAACTGGTGCCGCATACTCCAATATGGGCCTAACGTACACGGTGTACAGGGTCCTGAATGATTCCTTATTAAGATGTCGGAATGCTGTTCTGAGGTTTGCTAGGCGCCCGTATGCTGCAGCAGTTATTTGGTTGATGTGCGCTTCAGGAGATGTGCCTGGTGTTATACTCACCCCAAGATCTTTTTCCTTGAGTGAGGTTTGTAGTCTCTGACCCCCTAGACTGTACTCCGTCTGCGGCCTTCTTTTTCCCTTCCCCAATCTTCATGACTTTGCACTTGGTGGGATTGAACTCCAGGAGCCAATTGCTGGACCAGGTCTGCAGGGCCTGTCCAGATCCCTTTGTAGTTCTGCCTGGTCTTCGATCGAGTGAATTCTTCTCATCAATTTCACGTCATATGCAAACAGGGACACCTCAGAGTCTATTCCTTCCGTCATGTCGTTCACAAATACCAGAAACAGCACTGGTCCTAGGACTGCCCTGTGGGACCCGCTGGTCACAGGTGCCCACTCTAACACATCGCCACGTACCATGACTCGCTGCTGTCTTCCTGACAAGTATTCCCTGATCCATTGTAGTGCCTTCCCTGTTATCCTGCTTGGTCCTCCAGTTTTTGCACCAATCTCTTGTGTGGAACTGTGTCAAACGCCTTCTTGCAGTCCAAGAAAATGCAATCCACCCCCCTCTCTCTCTTGTCTTACTGCTGTCACCATGTCATAGAACTCCAGTAGGTTTGTGACACAGGATTTCCCGTCCCTGAAACCATGTTGGCTGCTGTTGATGAGATCATTCCTTTCTAGGTGTTCCACCACTCTTCTCCTGATAATCTTCTCCCTGATTTTGCATACTATACATGTCAGTGACACTGGTCTGTAGTTTAATGCTTCATGTCTGTCTCCTTTTTTAAAGATTGGGACTACATTTGCTGTCTTCCATGCCTCAGGCAATCTCCCTGTTTCGATAGATGTATTGATATATTGTTGTTAGGGGTACCATAGCGCCTGTGCTCCCTCTCTCAAGACCCATGGGGAGATGTTATCTGGCCCCATTGCCTTTGAGGTATCTAGCTCGCTCAGAAGCCTCTTCACTTCTTCTCGGTTGTGTGCACTGTGTCCAGCACTTGGTGGTGTGCCCCACCTCTCCGTCTTTCTGGAGTCCCTTCTGTCTCCTCTGTGAACACTTCTTTGAATCTCTTGTTGAGTTCTTCACATACTTCACGGTCATTTCTTGTTGTCTCTCCTCCTTCCTTCCTTAGCCTGATTACCTGGTCCTTGACTGTTGTTTTCCTCCTGATGTGGCTGTACAACAGTTTCGGGTCAGATTTGGCTTTCGCTGCTATGTCATTTTTCATATTGTCTTTGGGCCTCCCTTCTTATCTGTGCATATTCGTTTCTGGCTCTACGACTGTTCTCCTTATTCTCCTGGGTCCTTTGCCTTCTATATTTCTTCCATTATCTAGCACACTTGGTTTTTGCCTCCCTGCACCTTTGGGTAAACCATGGGCTCATCCTGGCTTTTTCATTAATCCTGTTACCCTTGGGTACAAAACCTCTCCTCAGCCTCCTTGCATTTTGTTGCTACATATTCCATCATCTCATTAACTGGCTTCCCTGCCAGTTCTCTGTCCCACTGAACCCCGTTCAGGTAGTTCCTCATTCCTGTGTAGTCCCCTTTCTTGTAGTTTGGCTTCATTCGTCCTGGCCTTCCTGCTTCTCCTCCACTTGTAGCTCTACTGTGTATTCGAAGCTTAAAACCACATGGTCACTGGCCCCAAGGGGTCTTTCATATGTGATGTCCTCGATATCTGCACTACTCAAGGTGAATACTAAGTCCAGCCTTGCTGGTTCATCCTCTTCTCTCTCTCTTGTAGTGTCCCTTACGTGTTGGCACATGAAGTTTTCCAGTACCACCTCCATCATCTTAGCCCTCCATGTATCTTGGCCCCCATGTGGGTCCAAGTTCTCCCAATCGATCTCCTTGTGGTTAAAGTCACCCATGATCAGGAGCTTTGCCCTGCATGCATGAGCTCTTCTGGCCACTCTAGCCAGTGTGTCAACCATCGCTCTATTGCTCTCGTCGTACTCTTGCCTTGGCCTCCTGCTGTTCTGTGGTGGGTTATACATCGCTGCTATTACCACCTTGGGACCTCCAGAGTGAAGTGTTCCCACTATGTAATCACTTTCTTCTCCGCTGTCTCCTCTCTCCAGCTCATCAAAATTCCAGCGATTTTTGATCAGCAACGCCACTCCTCCACCCCCCCTGTTCCCTCTGTCTTTCCTCAGGATTTGGTATCCCGTTGGAAAGATGGCATCTGTTATCATACCTGTAAGCTTGGTTTCTGTGAGAGCTATGATGTCTGGTGATGCTTCTTTGACTCTTTCATGCCACTCCTCCCACTTATTTGTTATTCCATCAGCGTTTGTGTACCATACCTTCAGTTTCCTTTCCAACACTGTGGTTTGGGGGGCCTGTGAGGGTGGGAGACCTGGTGGCATACTGTGGGATTCTATAGCTCGGTGTTGGGTGGAGGCTGTGGGTATGGACTGTAGTGTGTGTTGGGATGGTGTGATAGGTTGTATGGTTCTGAGAATAGTTGTGTGTGTGCTTGCCCTTGCTGTTCTGTTCTGCTCTGACTGACCTCTGCTGGTTCCCTCCTTGTCTCTTTTCCTAGCTCCTTTCGCTTTTTTGTCGTCTCCCTCAGCTGCTGTCGTTCTGTTATGTTCTGTCTCTGTCTAGGAACACTCTCTTGTACTCTTCCGAGTATTTCAATCGTGGTTTCTCTTGGAGGATCCTGTTCCGCACTGTTTCCGTCCTGAGAATCAGCTTGATTGGTCGGTTTCTCCCCTTCGAGTACCCCCTATTCTCTGAAAATTTACAATCTCGTCCATCTCTTCACCTATTTCCGTGATGATTTTCTCAATCTCCTTTCTTTCTTCCTGCTGCCTTTCAGTGTGTGTCCTTTCCTCTCTCTCCTGTGTGTGTGTGTGTGTGTGTGTGTGTGTGTGTGTGTGTGTGTGTGTGTGTGTGTGTGTGTGTGTGTGTGTGTGTGTGTGTGTGTGTGTGTGTGTGTGTGTGTGTGTGTGTGTATGTGTGTGTAGAGAGAGAGAGAGAGAGAGAGAGAGAGAGAGAGAGAGAGAGAGATCAACAATGGTGACTGATATCACTTCTATTCTGTTACTCTCGCCGCATGATTTGCGGCGGTGTCGGCGGCGGCGGCAGTGAGGGGTGACGGTGGCGGCGGAGGCAGTGAGGGGTGACGGTGGCGGCGGCGGCGGCAATACCGGGTGGCAGTGGTGTTGGCTGCAGCGGCGGGGGAGGGAGTTTCCATCCCCGACACCACCCCTCATATATAAGAAAGTTCCCTCCATACTTCGCTTACTTTCCCTTTAGAAGCGGCCTGGATAACACTGCTGGCGGCCGCGGGAAGGAATTCACAACACTTTACATCGTACAAGTCAACACTTCTCCGGCTGACTGTACACACAGGTAACCACAGCAGCTGAACTGTACTCTCCTTAAGTGTACAAAATACCGAAGCAAATGTGATTACATTCGTCATATTGAACAAAGAAAAGCTTGAATTATGGTGTCGAAGCGCTGTTCCCAAGACAGCTACTGAATGAACGATGGTGAACGTGTTTCCTTGTTTGGGACACTTTTACTTGTTTTTGAAAACGTCCCACTTAGTAAAAAAATAATATAAAAATACAAATAATAACTACAAAGGCAATAACAATAAAAGTCTATAATGCGATCTCACATCTAAGAAGCTTCTTAATTTTGACCTTAAATCAAAGATAAGTCATTAATTATAACTGTAAATCATTAATTATAACTGTAAATCATTAATTATAACTGTAAATCATTAATTATAACTGTAAATCATTAATTTTAACTGTAAGTCATTAATTATAACTGTAAGTCATTAATTATAACTGTAAATCATTAATTATAACTGTAAATCATTAATTATAACTGTAAATCATTAATTATAACTGTAAATCATTAATTATAACTGTAAATCATTAATTATAACTGTAAATCATTAATTATAACTGTAAATCATTAATTATAACTGTAAATCATTAATTATAACTGTAAGTCATTAATTATAACTGTAAATCATTAATTATAACTGTAAATCATGACCATAGATAAAACAGATTGTACTTCAGTGAGCAAGTGACGTCTGTTTAATAACTAAATTATGAAACCTTAGCCACAAGTTTTAACACAACGGGAACTGTTGTTGACAGATTAAGAGTTGCGTTCATGGTTTAAGAGTTGCGTTCATGATTTAAGAGTTGCGTTCATGGTTTAAGAGTTGCGTTCATGATTTAAGAGTTGTGTTCATGGTTTAAGAGTTGCGTTCATGATTTAAGAGTTGCGTTCATGGTTTAAGAGTTGCGTTCATGGTTTAAGAGTTGCGTTCATGATTTAAGAGTTGCGTTCATGATTTAAGAGTTGCGTTCATGATTTAAGAGTTGCGTTCATGATTTAAGAGTTGCGTTCATGGTTTAAGAGTTGCGTTCATGATTTAAGAGTTGCGTTCATGGTTTAAGAGTTGCGTTCATGATTTAAGAGTTGCGTTCATGGTTTAAGAGTTGCGTTCATGGTTTAAGAGTTGCGTTCATGATTTAAGAGTTGTGTTCATGATTTAGGAGTTGCGTTCATGATTTAAGAGTTGCGTTCATGATTTAAGAGTTGCGTTCATGATTTAAGAGTTGCGTTCATGATTTAAGAGTTGTGTTCATGATTTAGGAGTTGCGTTCATGGTTTAAGAGTTGCATTCATGATTTAAGAGTTGCGTTCATGATTTAAGAGTTGCGTTCATGATTTAAGAGTTGTGTTCATGATTTAGGAGTTGCGTTCATGGTTTAAGAGTTGCGTTCATACCTTAAGGTTAGAATTTAGATCTTAACACTTGTATGTATAAATTACAAAACTTAAGATTGAAATTTAAAACCTGTGTTTACAACTTAAAACTTACTTTAAGACTTAAATAGAGACGTTCAGGTATGACGGAAACATATAAGAGACAAGTAACACATACTTTAATTTTGCCTTAATGAATTGTTCCATACACACTATTATAAAATATACTTTCCTTCAATTTGAATAAGGAACAACATGCTGGACAAGGAATTTATTGTCGAGGCGTCTCAGCCATCAGTGATTTTATCACTTCTCGTCATAACGTTGTGTACCATGTGCTGTTTCAGTGGAGGAGGAGGATGCTGGTAGCAGCCTGGGGGATGGTGGTGCTGGCCACGGCTACTGTAGTAGCGGCTGAGGTAGGTCTTATTCACGTGTACTCATCTAATTGTGGTTGTAGGGGTCGACTCATGGCTCCTGGCCCCGCCTCTTTACTGGTCGCCACTAGGTCACTCTCTCCCTGCTCCATGAGCTTTATTATACCTCTTCTTAAAGATGTGTATGGTGTGTATGAGTGCGTGTGTGTTTGTGTGTGTTTAAGAGAGAGGGAGAGAGAGAGAGAGAGAGAGAGAGAGAGAGAGAGAGAGAGAGAGAGAGAGAGAGAGAGAGAGAAAGAGAGAGAGAGAGAGAAAGAGGCAGACAGACAGACAGAGACAGAGAGAGGTTCTATTTGGAACTATAGAGAACAGAAGTAAATGTGTGTGGTATCCTGCGTTCAGTATTTGTAACTAGAACAGCAGAGTTATGATCCTAGTGTTTCGTGTGCAGCGCAGCGGCCAAGAGCTGTTCTGGTTACATCCCGTCTTCAGTGTAGCGACAACATATGTTAGTGTTATCCCATTTTTCTGGGATAGTAGAATTATGCCGAGGTGTCACTTTTTCAGTGTTTGCACTTACAGAACCTGAGCTGTGGTTATGTATTCTTATCGTCAGTATTTGTAGTTACAAGAGCAGAGTTGTAGATGTGTTGTTCCGTCCTCGGCGTTTGTAGCTACAAAAGCAGAGGTGTGTGGATAGAGACTGTGTCGTACAATGGTGTGTGGACAGAGACAGTGTCATACACTGGTGTGTGGACAGAGACAGTGTCATACACTGGTGTGTGGACAGAGACAGTGTCATACACTGGTGTGTGGACAGAGACTGTGTCGTACAATGGTGTGTGGACAGAGACAGTGTCATACACTGGTGTGTGGACAGAGACAGTGTCATACACTGGTGTGTGGACAGAGACAGTGTCATACACTGGTGTGTGGACAGAGACAGTGTCATACACTGGTGTGTGGACAGAAACAGTGTCATACACTGGTGTGTGGACAGAGACAGTGTCATACACTGGTGTGTGGACAGAGACAGTGTCATACACTGGTGTGTGGACAGAGACAGTGTCATACACTGGTGTGTGGACAGAAACAGTGTCATACACTGGTGTGTGGACAGAGACAGTGTCATACACTGGTGTGTGTGGACAGAGACAGTGTCATACACTGGTGTGTGGACAAAGACAGTGTCATACACTGGTGTGTGGACAGAGACAGTGTCATACACTGGTGTGTGGACAGAGACAGTGTCATACACTGGTGTGTGGACAGAGACAGTGTCATCACTGGTGTGTGGACAGAGACAGTGTCGTACAATGGTGTGTGGACAGAGACAGTGTCATACACTGGTGTGTGGACAGAGACAGTGTCATACACTGGTGTGTGGACAGAGACAGTGTCATACACTGGTGTGTGGACAGAGACAGTGTCATACACTGGTGTGTGGACAGAGACAGTGTCATACACTGGTGTGTGGACAGAGACAGTGTCATACACTGGTGTGTGGACAGAGACTGTGTCGAACACTGGTGTGTGGACAGAGACTGTGTCGTAAACTGGTGTGTGGACAGAGACTGTGTCGTACACTGGTGTGTGGACAGAGACTGTGTCGTACACTGGTGTGTGGACAGAGACAGTGTCATACACTGGTGTGTGGGCAGAGACTGTGTCGTACACTGGTGTGTGGACAGAGACAGTGTCGTACACTGGTGTGTGGACAGAGACTGTGTCGTACACTGGTGTGTGGGCAGAGACTGTGTCGTACACTGGTGTGTGGACATGAGGACTGTGTCATACACTGGTGTGTGGACAGAGACAGTGTCATACACTGGTGTGTGGGCAGAGACTGTGTCGTACACTGGTATGTGGACAGAGACAGTGTCATACAATGGTGTGTGGACAGAGACAGTGTCATACACTGGTGTGTGGACAGATAGTGTCATACACTGGTGTGTGGACAGAGACAGTGTCATACACTGGTGTGTGGACAGAGACAGTGTCATACACTGGTGTGTGGACAGAGACTGTTTCGTACACTGGTGTGTAGACAGAGACAGTGTCATACACTGGTGTGTGGACAGAGACAGTGTCATACACTTGCGTGTGGACAGAGACAGGGTCATACACTTGCGTGTGGACAGAGACAGTGTCATACACTGGTGTGTGGACAGAGACAGTGTCATACACTGGTGTGTGGACAGAGACAGTGTCATACACTGGCGTGTGGACAGAGACAGTGTCATACACTGGTGTGGGGACACAGACAGTGTCATACACTGGCGTGTGGACAAAGACAGTGTCATACACTGGTGTGGGGACAGAAACAGTGTCATACACTGGTGTGTGGACAGAGACAGTGTCATACACTGGCGTGTGGACAGAGACAGTGTCATACACTGGTGTGGGGACAGAGACAGTGTCATACACTGGTGTGTGGACAGAGACAGTATCATACACTGGTGTGTGGGCAGGGACTGTGTCGTACACTGGTGTGTGGACAGAGACAGTGTCGTATACTGGTGTGTGGACAGAGACTGTGTCGTACACTGGTGTGTGGGCAGAGACTGTGTCGTACACTGGTGTGTGGACAGAGACTGTGTCATACACTGGTGTGTGGACAGAGACAGTGTCATACACTGGTGTGTGGGCAGAGACTGTGTCGTACACTGGTATGTGGACAGAGACAGTGTCATACACTGGTGTGTGGACAGAGACAGTGTCATACACTGGTGTGTGGACAGAGACAGTGTCATACACTGGTGTGTGGACAGAGACAGTGTCATACACTGGTGTGTGGACAGAGACAGTGTCATACACTGGTGTGTGGACAGAGACTGTTTCGTACACTGGTATGTAGACAGAGACAGTGTCATACACTGGTGTGTGGACAGAGACAGTGTCATACACTTGCGTGTGGACAGAGACAGGGTCATACACTTGCGTGTGGACAGAGACAGTGTCATACACTGGTGTGTGGACAGAGACAGTGTCATACACTGGTGTGTGGACAGAGACAGTGTCATACACTGGCGTGTGGACAGAGACAGTGTCATACACTGGTGTGGGGACACAGACAGTGTCATACACTGGCGTGTGGACAGAGACAGTGTCATACACTGGTGTGGGGACAGAGACAGTGTCATACACTGGTGTGTGGACAGAGACAGTGTCATACACTGGCGTGTGGACAGAGACAGTGTCATACACTGGTGTGGGGACAGAGACAGTGTCATACACTGGTGTGTGGACAGAGACAGTATCATACACTGGTGTGTGGGCAGAGACTGTGTCGTACACTGGTGTGTGGACAGAGACAGTGTCGTACACTGGTGTGTGGACAGAGACAGTGGTATACACTGGTGTGTGGGCAGAGACTGTGTCGTACACTGGTGTGTGGACAGAGACTGTGTCGTACACTGGTGTGTGGACAGAGACTGTGTCGTACACTGGTGTGTGGACAGAGACTGTGTCGTACACTGGTGTGTGGACAGAGACTGTGTCGTACACTGGTGTGTGGACAGAGAAAGTGTCGTACACTGGTGTGTGGACAGAGACAGTGTCATACACTGGTGTGTGGACAAAGACAGTGTCATACACTGGTGTGTGGGCAGAGACAGTGTCATACACTGGTGTGTGGACAGAGACATTGTCATACACTGGTGTGTGGACAGAGACTGTTTCGTACACTGGTGTGTAGACAGAGACAGTGTCATACACTGGCGTGTGGACAGAGACAGTGTCATACACTGGTGTGTGGACAGAGACAGGGTCATACACTTGCGTGTGGACAGAGATAGTGTCATACACTGGTGTGTGGACAGAGACAGTGTCATACACTGGCGTGTGGACAGAGACAGTGTCATACACTGGTGTGGGGAGAGAGACAGTGTCAAACACTGGCGTGTGGACAGAGA